CTAGTGGTGATAATTCCCGACTTTGAAAGCTTTAACGCTAAAGTACTACAGTCCTTCATTCTAATCATCAGTTCCCACTTAGGAAAGCTGCCTTTTGTGTTCATTTTTGGGATCGCCACTTGCATCAGCACGTTGCACACTTCCTTCCCCTATCATGTAAGTACTTAAAAATACAGCCCGCAAAAGTGTGAAGTTATTGGTTTAGGTGACTATGAAAATCAACGTTCATGTATTCAAATGCGAACCATCCATAGTCTATCTAAACCAGGTGCTGGAAGGGATTTTTCTGGATATTTTCTGCCCGTTCCACCTGGGAGGGAAGGTGTTGGACTTGTTCACCGAGATTTTCCTCTTCTACGACTTTTCAGTGCAGAATTTCGTGCAGAACATCAAGGTAATTGTCAAGTTTACTAATTGCAGCGTGGTATTCTCAAAGGGTCTAAGTGCCATTTTAAACAAATATTTCTAAGAATTATTTATTTTATTTACTAATAGGGGCAGCTGTAAATTTTAGAAGATTTTTTCGATAATAATCGTCGATGTGCCAACGGCAAGTGTGTTATTATGAAATTAGAATGTTTCTGCGCTCAGAAAGACATTTGAAAAACCCCGGTATAATTTTTTGGAAAGCGGTGGCTGAAAGCGGAGAAAATCAGGAAAGGAATGAAAAAAAAATTGAAACGAAGTAAATATAGTGGTGTGCAATATGTACATAAATCGGACCAAAATGGTACCTAACGTTAAAAACCGCTTTATTTATTTGCTTGGGTTGCCATTTCTGCATTTTTTTATTCTGATTTTTCTTCTGCCTTTCTTTTCTTCAGTTGTCATTTCTTAATTACGACTCTCATCATTGTTATTTTGAGAGCAATTTCCACACTCTTGCTTTCGTTTCAAATATAATTGTTTTTCTTCATTATGCTACGCATTGTTTGCTTCTTTATTTTTCCTTCCAGGGCCGTTTGGTGGTTCGTAAAGGGTTCCAGATTTTTCGAAGATTCATCGACTTTAAACGACAACTTTAAATGGAAACCGAAAAATCTAGAAAAAAAATTGTTTTTCGATATTTCTAAGTCGTGAGCAGAATGCGCTTGATTGAGAGTTTTATCAATCAGAAAGGGAGCGCTTTCGTTATCGGGTGAAACTGGAAAGTTTTTTCGGATTTTTGTTCTTTGAGTATTTTTTTTCTTGATGCTTGTTTTCTTTTACTTGAGTTGTCATTTCTCAATTGCTACTCTCATGGTTGTTGTTTTGACAGCAATCTCCACACGTTTGCTTGAGGATCGTTTTCAGTGAAGTTTTTCTTTAAAACATCCTTTCTTTGATGCTTCAAATCTGCCCATAATTTTGTTGTGCTTTGCAGGATTTTCATCATGTTTAAACTCTTGCTTTCGTTTCAAATATAATTGCTTTTCTTCATCATGCTACGCACTGTTTGGTTCTTTATTCTTCCTTCCAGGGCCTCTTGGTTGTTCGTAAAGTTTTCCAGATTTTTCGAAGATTCATCGACAACTTTAAATGGGAACAGAAAAATCTAGAGAAAAAATTGTTTCTCGATATTTCGAAGTCGTGAGTACAATGCGCTTGAAAGGGAGTTTTATCAATCAGAAGGGAGCGCTTCCCTTATTGGGTAAAACTGAAAAGTTTTTTCGGGTTTTTGTTCTGTGACTATTTCTTTTTCTGTCCTGATGCTTGTTTTCTTTGCTTGAGTTGTCATTTCTTCATTGCTACTATCATGGTTGTTTTTTGAGAGCAATTTCCACATTCTTGCTTTAGGATCTTTTTCAGTCAAGTTTTTCTTTAAAACATCTTTTTTTTTTGCTGCTTCAAATCAGCCCATAATTTTGTTGTGCTCTGCATGATTTTCTTCATGTTTAAACTCTTGCTTTCTTTTCAAATATAATTGCTTTTCTTCATCATGCTACGCACTGTTTGCTTCTTTATTCTTCCTTCCAGGGCCTCTTGGTTGTTCGTAAAGTTTTCCAGATTTTTCGAAGATTCATCGACAACTTTAAATGGGAACCGAAAAATCTAGAAAAAAATTGTTTCTCGATATTTCGAAGTAGTTAGCACATTGCGCTTGATTGGGAGTTTTATCAATCAGAAGGGAGCGCTTTCCTTATTGGGTAAAACTAAAGTTTTTCGGGTTTTTGTTCTTTGACTATTTTTTTTTCTTCTGTCTTGATGCTTGTTTTCTTTGCTTGAGTTGTCCTTTCTCCATTGCTACTCTCATGGTTGTTTTTTGAGAGCAATTTCCACACTCTTACTTTAGGATCATTTTCACAGTGAAGTTTTTCTTTAAAACATCCTTTGTTTGATGCTTCAAATCGGCCCATAATTTTGTTGTGCTCTGTAGGATTTTCTTCATATATACACTCTTGCTTTCGTTTCAAATATAACTGCTTTTCTTCATCATGCTACTCATTGTTTACTTATTTATTCTTCCTTCCAGGGCCGTTTGGTTGCCAGAGCCAAAAGTGTGTACTTAGTTTCACAAAACCCTTTTAAAAATTGTATTTATTTTCCAGTTTGCTATGATGGAACATTTCTCGCACGGAAACGCCATGGCGTTATGCCTAATGGAGAAAACCGCCATTAAAAACGTTCTAGTGGATTTCAATCACGAAGACTGCGAAAATGTTCGGCATCTTTTGTCCTTTAGGTAAAAAGCTCCCAGGCTGTTGCACATTATTTCATTGGACTGTTTTGTAGAAATTTGGTGGAATCTGAACCTTACGAGCAGAGAATTAAATTGATAACAGACGATGAATACTTCAAGCAGGCGGTTTGCGATAAAGTAGTGGCAATCCAAAGATACATCAAGCGGCTGCATGTATTTCTACGATGCTTACACGCCTTAGTTTATGATCTTCCAGGATCCCCTTTAGGCAAGAATGTAAGAGATTCCGAAGCCTTGTTCAGCTGGACTTTCACAACTGGAAAATATTATTCTAGCTCAGAGAACTATACACACTTGCTCTGACCAAAAGCATCACACAATCCGCAGAATATCGGGAAAGTTTCCAGCTGCTGGAGTTCCAATCCAAGGATGCGCTTCAAGAGAAACTGAGGCGTATTGCGGATATTTTGGCACAGTTTGTGAATAAGGGGAGTAGCAAAACGAAATTGAGGGATTTTTGCGTGGAGATTGATAGGTTAGTGAGAATCTTACAGAATACTGATGTAGAAGAGAGTGAAAAGGACGAGATCAGCCTTGAAGAGGGATTGGGCGCGATGATGGACAGAAAGGCGTTAAAACAGGTGCGTTTATGCATTTGACCAAAGTTTGTACATTTTTTTAGTTTAAGCCTTCTACAAATTATTTTATTGGGTTTATCATACGCGGGGTTAAAAATATCGGCTCTAATCTCACCAGTTGTATTTATTATAAGTGGTTTAAACCACTCTTAGCTTTGTAAGATGGAGCGGTTGAATTTATTGACTTAATTTCAGCTGCAATCTGCAAGATCAGACATTTGTTAAAATCGACAATGTGGTTTCAGGCTCTATTCTCTCGATCAAAACAGAAATCAAAGACGCAGGACAAATATGAGAAACTAAAACAAGAAATCCTCGCATATCTTTCCGGGCAGTTTGAAGAATATCTCGTCCATCCTAGCACATTGCCGTTCTACGAAATATTCTTTTTCGATGATATTTCGATTAAAAACCACATAATTGGCATCCATAGAGCGGCCATCCACAACGCCCTCAACGATCCGCATCGTTACTTGCAAGTAAGTTAGTCAGTTTTATTTTAAACCTACGAAACTTACAATGCAGTGAAAATGTATGTACAATAATTGGAAGCCACTATGAGCAATTTGCACTAAAGTAGTAAGTTCCTTTATCGAAGAAAAGCTGATTGGCTTGATGTTTTCACTGCCAAATGGCCAAATGTTTCCATTAAGCCTAGTGATTTAAATTTTCCGCGTGAAAAAATTATCAATGCTTGCACTAAAAACACACTTTACCTGATCTCACTGGTTTGCCAGTTCTACTGCAAAATGGACAATTTTTCCCACTAAACTTGATTTTTCCGCAAAATTTGGAAACTAATGAATTTGCATTTGATTTCTTTGTTTGAAGTTATTTTAGGTTTTTAGAAACACAAATTGTAAACTTTGTTTGGGTGTTTAGAAAAAAATGTTTTCACGAAATTGAGTGAACTTGAAAATCTGCTTCGTTACACTGGAGATTACACCAAGATTTAGAATCCAGTAAAAATGTAAAAAAATTGGCTGTGAAAAGCTACAATTGTTCGCACTAAAACACATTTTAAAGTAGATATATGTATGCATTTATGTTGCAAAAGTTGCAATTTCTCGGAGAAATTCTCACTGCCTTGTAGGTTTCAGCTCAAAAGGCGCAATTGTTTTCACTAAACTAGATGCCATCGCAAAAAAGTCGAAATACCTGGATTGTATGTTGCCAATAGTAGAGAAATATGCTTAGTTTGTATCTGTAAAAACTGAAATCTAGAAAACGACGCATTACCTATATGAACTTTTTCCTAAAACCGCCTGATAAATCATCCCCCTAATAATTTTTCCCCATAGTCAATTTTTCACATCTTTTTCCAGTCCGGTTAAGTATTAATTTAATCTGTTGCAGTGCAAATGTTGTGCCATATCGAACAAACGTACAGTAAAAGCATTAATGCCTGACATCTGTATTGCCTACAAGTTGCATTTAGAATGGGGTAAAATGATCAACCTGTACGATTGGCTGATGGGTTTCTTGTGCATAGTCGACCCACAAGAAGAGGACGATTTAAGCGACAAATCCAAAAAAGTCGTGGACCCGCATGTGCAGTATCCTTATTTTCTTGTTTCGTAATTTTGCCTTTTACACTGTTCTTTCCTTAACCAAATATTTAGGGCAAGATTTACCCAAGCAGTTGCGGAACTGGAATACCTGGGATTCATAAAAAGCTCCAAACGGAAGACTGATCACGTAATTAGGCTCACTTGGGAAGGCTGATATATGTAAGATTTAACTACGCTTATTATATGGAATTTATTTCTTTAAAATTTGTCGACTAAATGTAGAATGTGCTGCTGCTCCTGGTCCCTCCAGTCTTTGTCGCCTTCCTCCCCTAAATTACCTGCGTACTCCCTCATTATGTGTCTTATAGTCTTTAGAGATGCCCCTCGTAGGTTAAGGATCTTGAAAAAGGGTTAAAATTTTATCTAATAAACTGCTCAACAAAACGAACGTTACGCAGCCAAATTTCCCGTAACGTTGGAAGTGGAAGAATTCATTGATTCAAGCGATTTGGTTTCTGTTTGAAGCATCTATTTTTTGTTCGTCAATGTTTTGGTTAAAATTAAGCTCCTCAGATAAATTTTCTACAGGGTGGCAAATGAAAAAAACACTAAAATTTCGCAAAGCTCGGCACGCTCCTAGTTGGAAAAAAAAAGGTTTTTTGGGATCTCAAAACCAAAAGTTTACAGGTAGGTAAGAAAAGATAAAGATAAAACTAGGTAAAATTTTTCGGCCATCTCTTTTGCTTACAGGGTGGTCTCAAAAAGTCAACTTTTTGGTCTTGCAGCGATAACTTTTCTGATCTTTGTCCGATTTTCACGATCGTTAGCTCATATTGAAGCTAAAACTTTATAAATAATTTAAGACGAAAATTCGATATACGGGTTGCATTAAAAATTACTCAAATGTGATTTAGGAATAATTTCAACTAAATGAAGTTTACTTTCAAATATTTCGTTCATTCATGCAATCCGGTATATATAGGTATATATATAAAAAGTTAATTAAACCAAACACCGCCCTGAAAAAACACGAAATGAGCGACAGGTTCAAAAACTTTTTTTGAGATACGAGTATCTTAATGTCTGTTAACCCAGAGCTTGTGGAACTTTCGCCAATTTTGCATTGTTTCATTTGCCACCCTGTAGAACCGGTATCTGAAGCATTAGTTTTTCGCGCAAACACGCACTAACCGAAAAAGAAACAACGCTTTTAACTGAGACATCATCGCCCGCAGCAATTAGAATTGATCGGGTTGCAAAGTTTCGCAGAAATTGAGGCAAAAATATTACCTGCATAACGCGTTGCTTGATGCTCGATGGGCCTGCGGCGCATACTTCCACAATAATGTAATCAACCAGCTGTAAAGTGAACAGGCCACCCTCCAACCTCTTCAAGTAGTTTTCGTCCTCGTTTTCTTCACCTTCTTCCAGATGATCGTCAATTTCCTCCACCTTTTCCAGATACTTGAAGTGTAGTTCCAAAAGCCGATCTACTTTTTCGTGGTCATTTTCCGTGAACTTGCTGATAAGCCGCTGACGTTGAGAGCCTCTGTATGAATGAGCAAAAATCCAGTTGCGCTCGAAACAGAGTTGCTACTCTCACCTGCAGTTTCTTAACATGGAGGCGATAATGGAGCAGACGTGCTCCTCGTGCTCCTCTGAAGAGAGTACTTTCTTGCGGTTCTTCTTGGGGGTTTTCATGAACAACGGAAATATGGTTCTTAGTCCCAAAATGTCCACAAATTTGTTACCTGGAAAGCTCCAATAGTGGCAGGTTTGTTAATAGGGTTTAGGAAACGTACAATTATCTTTTCCATGAAGGCCGGACATGGCATAGTCCAGGACTTTGAGGGAGCCGTTTCGCGATGTTTTCTTCTCCCGCAGCATCAAGTTCATCAGCTGTAAGCCTTCGCCTTTGAGAAAACGATCGCGGTTAGGTGGCACCATTAGGGAACTGCATAAGCTGAAAGACCGTTTTGTGAAGTGCGAAGCTTTTGATTGGTACGACTTTGCCACTTACCAATTAAATAGATTTTCCATCAATTCGTGCTCCTCAGGGCTAGACGGGTCATGTCGTTTATAAAAAGCCAGTTGCTGCAATAAAGTATCAATCCCATCAAGCTCCCCCAGCAAAGTGCGATTTTTCTCATTGTCTTGGAGGATGATGGATAGCATTTCGCTAACATAAAGTTTATTCTGGTCAAACGGTGCCTTCACTTTTAGCCTTTTTAGCAACCAAGCCAGCAATCCTGGAAACATATGACTCAGAAAATAGTGCTGGTTTCCTTTCACTTGATGTACCCTGTTTTCCCGCCTCAACGCTGATATCAGCTCTCAGTTCTGTGAGATTTTCGATTATGGACAGCGTGTTGTGCACTCCATCAGCTTCTTCTTTCACGGTCTCATCCAAACGATCTAAGTTTTGCACCAGAAGAGCTATGACTTGATGCTCCAGTAGGGATTCCAGAAGGGCATCAGCCCCCTCTTCAGACTCATTTAGAATGTCCACATCAGTTAGCTCTTGTAACAGTTCAATGGTCGCAACCTAACTCTCTGGGTTTTAGTACAACCTTTACAAATGGTGTTGCGTGCTACTTACAGCAATATCAGTGTTATCATGCGCCAACAATTCCAACAGGCTGGGAATCACCTGCAATCTCACCAAGAGTGGATAGTAGTCGGGGGCGGTTGATAGGGCGCGCATTTCCTGCAACGTTTCGTGCAACTCGAGCTCACTCTCCATGAACTTGTCGGGTGAATCGGGAAATTTGATACGCATTTCGCGGTTTTTTAGCGAACGCTTTTCGAAATTTAGCACTATCTTCTTAATCGTTGTCGAATCTACCACGTCGCCCTAAAACTCGCAATCGTCAGACAAATAATTTATTTATCTAAAGGCTTAAATATTTAATAAGTTTCGTGATTGCTCATGTGGTACAAGTGGGTCATTTTTTAAACACTTGTGAGCTGTAGAACGTGATTTAGGAGTTAAATTGGCGCAGTGGCAGTCGGGGAAAATGTTTCAGCATATTTTTTCCAAGGATTATGATAGTCATGGGTAACACTCTGTTGTATCGCATCCACACCACATTCATCCCATTCTCAATAGATGATAAGCTCACCTGGACTTCTTCTGTTTCCACATACTTAACAATCTCTGCCCTCTCCTCCTCACTGATCTGATCCAATGCTTGGAGGGACGGAGTTGGAGAAGGAGCTCTGACCATTTGCTGAGCCTTGGCTCTGGCGATTTTCCTCATTTTCTTCGCTCTTTCCGACTCATCGTCTTTGCCCTCGCCTTCGGTGGGGCGCTTGAGAGCTTGCGGGGGCTTAAACGRGGACCTTTAGAGTCAAACAAGTGCAAACTTGAGCTAAACTCACTTTGTAGTCAAGCAATTCGCCTACATCCATGTCTATGTTSTGTTAAACAATTTAATGTTCACCAATCGATTAATTCTGGACAGAAATAAAACAATGTTTACAGTGTTTTAGGTTAGGAAGGTGCACAGAACATACCCCTAGGGGGGATATTTTGTGGGAAGGTGCTCTCATTCTAGTTGTCTTCATCTATGGGTGTTCTCGTCTTTTTTTTAGGCGCAGTGGCTGGATTTTTAAGCATCAGTCGTTTTTCAAAGAGAAAGAAGACTTAAATGCGAKTGTAATGATCAATGAGAAAGACAGAGATAAGCTGATTTAATCGACTGATTAACTGGACGTTAGATTATCTTCATCAAACCATATTCAGGGTGTGTTTAGGAAAATTACATTAATTTAGAAAAAAACGATTTCAGTCTACCGCATATACACGGTTGGATGAGATAATTTAGAATAAATTAACTAATCGTTAATTAATTCACTTTACAACCCAATGTAGCTGCTTTATCGTCACAATTGTTTGTCGCGGCGATAACACCCCCATTTATCTCTGCAACTTCCTTTTTCTACTGTACTGATAACATTTTGCATATTTTTTACTCATTTTAATGATAAACGGAGCAGAATAAAGTGCACAACGTAAAGAGAGAAAGCATAATGCGCAAAGGGGGAGCGAGATAGGAAATACAATATTAGTAAATTTAGTTTTGTCTCTGTTTAGTTGTCAAAATCAGCTGCCAGAGGTAGAGACTCAARGGAAGGAAAAACTAAYGAGAAAATGCAGTTTTTTAAAGAAAACGTGYACTGAAAAACAGTTAGTGACTGAAACGTGTGTGCCTGCTTCAAGATGCATCGTTTGTGCAAARAATTGTGCGTGGATACCTGAAGGTGCCCCAATTTCCATGGAAAATCGATTTCTCTAAGCTCCAGACGAGTAAATAATTAAAYCATGTCTGTAGGAGTCTTTGGGTATAGCCGGGAGGCTGTCAGGGTGAAAGTGAAGGTATATTACTTCTAAAACCTTTGCCGTGCCTAAGCTTATCRGCTTTCGGGATATCCGCTCAAAAATTCAGTTCYCAGGCTTAAAAATATGTTTATTACTGCTATAGSGTTCTGATATACTGCACGTGAATAATTMAAAAATCAGGTCTTACGTGCGTATACARGGAGTCAAAGTAACATGGCAAGTTCCTATWAGCAGGCCTTCCATAYGAAGATATACCGRGTGTCGATTKTAAAACTTCCCACCCTTAAWAKMTATTMWGGAAGAAAGTTGAAGTTAAAAATATGAAAAATCGGAAAGRCACGTCAATTTTMWTTGTAAAGGGGACACTTTGAATTAATATTTTTAGCTTCCKTGTTTCAACCCCCTAGGAGGGGTAGGTGTCACCCTTAGAACCCKAAATAGGAATGGGGGTCWGGTGGCACATCGCTTAAAAGGGCGTTCAATWMTCTTYCAATGGGTTTTATTGTAGAAATTTATCTCGTAAAGAAAACGTTATTTTTWTCCAAGTRAAATAACCAATAGATATGAAATCAATTGTTTAAACTAGATTTTCTTTCTCCCATTCAATGATTTAAACGGTGTAACCTACTCTTAATAGGATTAAAGCCAAAACCCACTGCACAACCCTTCCAACCAACTACTATACGAACGCACAAACATGACATAAATTCCGGAAAGACTAATACACTTACAGACAAAATGGACAAACAACCCCTATAACTGGACCATACTGAATCCCCTTTGCCTAACAAAACAGACAAAACACTCCCGTTTTCGTACCCCAATAGATACTTTACTAGAACACCTACAAACACAACTGAACTAACGACTAAGACCTGTTTGTTTTGTAAGCCAAGAATTTTCTTTTTTTTTATTACTGATTAGGTTATACGAGTGTTAGGAATAGGAATTAATTTTAGAATATGCTAGGCTAAGATGCATATGTACTACACAAGGGCAGAAAGACCGATTGGGTCTTTTCTATAGGAAATAAAGATTATTTATATTATATATAGGATTAAAGGAGCTTAAAGTTATAAGGAGACCCAAAATGCAACTTTTTTTGTGTAAACACTAACTTGAAAATCAAAGTCTCAATGCAGGCAAGTTTAATTGTTTCTGCATCTTTGAAACGCGATTATTCTGAAACCTTCTGGACTACAAGCAACAAAGTTGGATACCACTGAACAGAGAATTGAGAGCCCTTTAAAACGATGTGTCACTTGACCCCCATTCCCATTTGAGATTCTCAGGGTGACATCTACCCCTCCTAGAGGGTTGAAACAAGAAAGCTAAAAAATACTTTAAAGTGACCCCCTTAGAAATAAAATTGCCGTGTTTTTTCTGTTTTTTTCATATTTTTAACTGCAAGAAAGATATTAAGGGTGGGAAGTTTTCAAATTGACACCTCGTATATAGTTCCCTAAAAGACGCCACTGAACATCGGTTTTGTCGAATAACTTTTAAAGCATCTGGCATAATTTGATCATTTTTTAATATGATAGTAACTAGTTAATGGCCCTTAAAATGGTGTTTTGCAAAAACTCATTTTGTTTTTTGCTTGCCCCGAAGACCAACCAGCTTGTTCACATCAACACCCCTTATCATAATAGCACACAAAAACTATAAAAAATTTGGTACTTTYGATTGATATCGATAAAATGAACCCTTTTCCAGAAAACATCTATTATTTAAATYAATTTTGAATTACTTGAATTYTTTCTTTTCGAAATCGAAATGATTRATTGATTAATTAACAGYAACGATAAATTAGCAATAATTGATTTAATCACTGGGGGTCAACACTAGGGGTAGATTGTATGCAAATGTGGAGCTAAATATAAAAGAAACAGCTTACTTAATCGGGAAGTTCAATATAAAACCTGGTAAAATGTGTGATTTTATCAGGCCACCCTGTAAAACCACAGTGCATAAACATAGTATGCATTTTACACTCCTTTCTCCTTAAACCACGCATATGATACCGTCGATAACGAYACTCTTTTAAGATGAAAAGTAGATTTTATATACAGAAAAGTTGCCACCACTGTAGATGCTAAGCGGACTGTAAATAATCGTGTTTTTCATGCCTATTTGAGTTAATAAAGCTATTTAATTTAGAAATGTGAGGGCAATCAGCCAGCAGAGATCAGAAAGTTCAGCGTCGACCCTCAAATCACATCCTTTGAGGTGTTGCAAAGCATCCTGGCCAAGGCATTTGACTTGAAAGGGGACTTTGCCATCTGCTATCGGGCGTATGATGTGACCGGCCAGGAGATCTACATGCGCCTAATTTCCGACTGGGATCTGGATGCGGCTTTTCTCAAGTAACTAGCCAGTGACGTCTAACTATAGTAACGATTAATAAATCTATGGCAATTTTAGGGCACACAACACTTCGGTGGCCACCAATCAGGAACCGTGTCTTTGTCTGAGAGTTGATCTGAAACCGTTTGAGGAACAAATTGAGGACTGGCAGCAGAAGCAGAATGTGTCGATTATTGCTCAGATTCGGACTCCTACTAGTCAGGAGGCGAAGCCATCGTCTAGGTTTCATGGCATGATTAATCAGGCGAGTTTACCAACTAGGACAATCAGTTTTGATTACCCTCCGCTAAAAGGAGTGTTTGGTTCGAACACTTTCAAGGCACTAACCTTCAACAGCATACATTATATGTCAGCTTAGACCTATTTCCAACTCATTACCTACTATCGGGCAGAAAAACAAAAAACGTTGCTGCATAATTACAGATATCATATCGCTTATTTCATGAATTTGCCGTGTAGGCCTGATTTATTATGTAGGTGTTCTCTGCCACCTAGTCCAGACCATTATTTAACTGAGGAACTGTTGCTGATTCAACCGCTTTCAAGTCGTTATCCTATCGGTTGATTCTTCCTTTCGAATGTTTCTGGTGTGTACTTGTCGTTATTTTGTTTTGCGTTAAGGTCTGTAAAATTATAACTTTTTCCACCAATAATTCCGGCAGGTGAGAAACTATGTCGGTAACTTGAAACGAGTGAGACTCGTTACTACTGATTGCAACTGATCAGATTTTTGAGCACGAGTTAATTAACCCAATACGAGAATCCTCCCAGTAATGCGGCGAAGAGTGCACGAAAAGTTATTACACTGGCACAAACATGTATGGAGTTAATCGGGAACTTCGAACACCTCTTGTGAGTTGTCCACATTTCAAAACTGTTCTTTTCAAACCCAGAATGTTTTTCATATATGTATTTGTGATTGTAATTAGATCATTGATCAGTTTTGGGGGTGGCAAAGTTAGCATTTTATTTTATTAGTTTTTAATAATTCACACAAATCTCAGGAAACTGTAGTAAAATCTATATTTTGGGACTTATCGCAATACCACATCCAATCATTGAAAATTTACTTTAGGAATTTAAAATTGTTTAATTTAAGTTTATTATTTTGTTGTGATTCATGTGCAATTAATTTCTTTTAAACTAGAAAAGTTTTTTTGCGTTATTGTGTTTTGTTATTGTACGACAAATAAGAATACCTTTCTTACGTAAATATGAGAGGAAAATGAGGTTGATACGGGGAGGAACTAAAAATATATTATTGGATAAAGTTTGGAGACATGATTGGATGTGGTATTGCGGTAAGTCCGAGCGTATTTTTATACAGTTAACTCACCCTGTATAAATGTAGGTATTTTCTGTGGCCTGCGCACATTTTTTAAATGTATTGTTCGCCTCTTGTGAAAAAAGTGTTCAGAAAAATGTTCAAAAAAGTGTTTAAAAAAGTGTTCATCTAGCCATCAAGTGTAAATAAGTATAAACAATGCTTCTGTTTTTTACAGGTGGGTAAAACCCTCAACATGGTGCAAAAAGTGCTGAACTTCGGAGACGATATGAACTCCAGTGTTCAGCCTTCAATACCAGCACTGAGCGATGGAGAGTTTCGAAAATTTTGCGACGCAGTCGGGCAAATTGTGCACGCGAAAGAACTCAGATCCGTAATTTATTACGGCGGCATTGAGCCAAGTCTCAGGTATGCATTTTATTAATGTTGTATTGTTTTAATGAGCATTTCGTTAAATCAGCTTTGAAGTTGATTATTTGTTTGCATAAAATGCATTTCTGAAAGTGTTGTTGGACTTAATGTTCAAAATATTAAACCTATAAAATATTGGAATTGGAACTCTGTTTTAGGAAAGTTGTCTGGAAGCATTTGTTGAACGTTTATCCAGAGGGAATGTCTGGACGCGAAAGAATGGACTACATAAAGAAAAAAGCTGCTGAATACGAGAAGCTGAAGAGCACATGGAAACAAGCTATTGCTCAGGTTGGTAAAGTTTATGCTCCGGTGCACTCATACACGGTGTCCTGAAATAAATCCAACTATTTTTTGCTAAATGGACCTTCCATTTGGGTAACATTCGTTTCGTTCATCCACTAAAATTCGTCAATCGTTTGTCTAGAGTCTATCAGAGCCTGGTTTTACGATAATTAATAAAATTGGTGCAATACAGTTTGACCAAGACTAAGGTGTGCGGCTCTTAAAAGGCACATTAAAAAAATATGTTTTACAATGGAGCGTCTAGTTATAGGCAGATATATTTAACGATTATGTCTAAATGGCATTCTGGCAAGTTCTTAATGTCCATTAAAGAGCTAAATATTTATTTTATAAAAACGAATTAAATACAAAAATAAACAATAATAAAAAATATGGGAAGCTATCAGGGAGGCAACCAAGGAAACTGTAAATAAAAATGTAAATATAAACTCGATAATTGAAAATGGTACGGAAATAACTGAAAAAGGTCAATATCTGGAAGGTTTCTGGACTGTTATTGTAATATCGGAAAAAACCTTAATAAATTACTTGAAAAGTGCGTTCAAATTAAATGGAAAATACATTTAAAAAATATTAAATTATTGTCAAGTTGGTTTTCGAAGTAAAATGAGTACTGAGGATGCAATCCAACAATTGAGACAAGGATTAAATAATTTTAATGAAGGCCATAAGACCTTGGGCATTTTTATAGATCTTGCAAGAGCATTTGACACTGGCACATCACATTCTCTTGCAACTGCTTAATGACGTGGGTGTACGAGATACCGAGTAAGCACTATTTAAATCATACCTTAGTAATCGAACACAACAAGTAAAAATTAATAACCTCGTTGGAGAGATGGGTGCGGTTGAATGTGGTGTGCCACAGGGTAGTCCTGGGCCACTTTTATTTTTAATCTATTTAAACAACCTTACAAGAATTTTACCTGAAATGGATTGTTCTGTTATCTGTTACGCTCATGATACTGTAATTCTAGTAAAGGTAGGATCATGGTCAGAAGTACAAGGGTTAGCTGAAGGATATATTACATTGGTTAAACTTTGGATGGATCAGCATCTTCTAACTCTAAATAGCCGTACAACACACTTCATAAATTTCTCTACTTATAACAGTAACCATCAAGATGAACCTCTGGAACTTACAATGTATATTTATCCTTCTTTTGCTAATCTGATGGAAAATTGTGCTTGTGATTCTAAAATTTCTTCAGCTATGTACACAAAATACCTCGGAGTTTATATGGATAAAAACTTAAGTTGCAATATGCACATTGATTACCTAACTAAAAAGATAAGGAAAACAATCTATAAGTTTTATCAACTATGTGATTCTATGCCTCGTGAGTTGTTGGAAATGGCTATGTGGTGTAGTCTCTGATTGACTCCATTCTAAATTATGGTATAAGAATTTGGGGTAGTGTTTGCAGTACAACCTTATCAAACCTAGTTATTACACAAAAATATATACTAAAAATAATAAATAAAAAACCAAAAAGATAACCAACAGTTAATCTATTTTTGGAAATTGGTGCTCTCACGGTTAGAAAACCCTTAACTTTATGAAAAATAAGGACATTTACAAGATTCTACCCCAGCGCCTTAATATTACTAGATCTGTCAAAAGAGAACACATTTTTTAACTACGGTGGATTTTACAATTTGTCGCCGTCATATTTCTTATGTGGGGCCAAGAATCTTTCATCTTTTACCAAAGGATTATAAGAACTTAAAGAAAAAACTGTTTAATGTATGGATAACTGAATGGATAAGGTGCAATTATGAAAATGTATTACTAAACCTTTACCTTTTTTAACATAAGGAAATATTTAGAACATAAATAGATATGGGTAAACCATTAAGTCTGTTGTAGTCTTTTACTTTTTGCAAATTTAATCTATAAGTTAGTTTGATTTGTGTTTCATAATAATCTCTCCAATTTATTGTAAATTTGTTACTTATTGTATTTGACAAACTCTGTCCCGACAAGTCACTTGTAAGTTAGGGCACAAATGCTTACTTTGTAACAATACTGTAAATTTCAAGTGATATATTTGAATATTTCTTCTAATATTACAATCACATAATATTTTTGCAAACATGCAGCTTTTTTCGAAAAAATACTCAAAAACGTCAGTTTTACAGACTGAGACAGTAAAATTCGTGATGCTATTGTAATTCCCATATGCTTGGATATGATCTTTGTCACCTTTAACTGTTTTTTGTTGTTTTTAGGGCCCTGTCGCCGGAGAACTGGCCTACACGACTGGAATGGTGCGCAAAGACGTGCTCAGAACCGATCGCCATCATCCATTCTACGCAGGAAGTGATGACAACCAAAACATCCACTCATTGTTCAACATTCTGACAACGTAAGTTGCTTGAAATCTGCTGAATATTTTGGGAAAATGATTTGTGAATTTTCCAGGTACGCGTTAAATCATCCCAAGGTTTCCTATTGTCAGGGAATGAGCGATTTGGCTTCACCACTTTTAGTCACTATGAACGATGAAGCTCACGCCTACATCTGCTTTTGTGCGCTCATGCAACGCTTAGTGACGAATTTTATGATCGATGGCATTGCCATGACGCAGAAATTCACTCATCTGGCAGAGGGTTTGATGTATTACGATCCTGAGTTTTATAATTATTTAAAGGTGCACCAGGTAAGACATCTTCTATTTTTAAATTGATTTTCCTACTTATTTGTTTTTCGGTTTAAATTTGCTTAAAATTCTCGGCTTTTCAGGCAGTCTATTTATTAGAATTAATACTTAAATGCAACCGTAGTAGATATTCACGACTAGTTTATTCTAATATAGTATTGGTTGATATAGGGTGTCTCAAATTCACCAAAGTTACGAAATGATCTATTTTTAATGCATATTTGCAATATGCTAAAACCAAACCATTCGATAAAAATGTTCTATATCGATATTCAATTGCTTTTGAGTTTATAACGACCAGTGATTGAACCACCACAAATGCCTAATTTTCAAATTAGGCACTAAAATGGAAAGAAACGGGAAGGAAAAAAGAAGAAATGGTTATTGTTATACATATAATTAATTATTTTTCTCTAGGAAAATATTTAAATTAAATTTTTTCTCTAAATTAAAAACATCATTTGAGGTGGCTTGTTGGGTGACTCAGATTCCATCAGTACTGATTATTAACTCAAAAATAACTGAATAACCGGACACTGAGATATGTAAAGAAAAATTACTTTCAATAATTTTATCATTTAGAATTATTAAGAAACGTACTTTTGCCCCATGGTATAATCGAGTCAGGAAGGTTTCTCACAAATTACGTGTTGTTTTTAACTCTCAAGAGAAGAGGCTCATACCCATATTCAAGGCTTTTGGGTTCTTCATTTCAATTCAATTTGATTTTTTCTAAGAGAATTTGAACACCCTGTAGATCTAAGAATACGCGATATAATGTGAAACCTTCATAAACTATAGCATCGACTTGGGTCGCCTTTTTCCTGATTTTTCAGTCCTGTCAATCTAATAGATCTTTTTTGATTTAGAATAGTCAGTGGAAATGAGTTTTCCAAGTATTTAACTTAATTTTCTTTTCACATTTTAGGCTGACGATTTACTATTTTGCTACCGTTGGCTGCTTTTGGAAATGAAGCGTGAATTTGCATTTGGCGACTCGTTACGAATGCTGGAGGTTCTTTGGGCCTCATTGCCCGCTGACCATCCGCAACTTGAACTAAAGCTCTTTGATATTCCGTTTCAGCACATTCCGCCCAGCGCAACACCACCCATCAGTCCGCTGGTAAGTTATTGAATTTTGTTTCGTTTGATCTGGATTCAAGGGCATTATTACTATTCAAGGCTACAAAAAGTGTAATTTACAACAGAACAAACATTAATCGAGTAAAATTAGCTTCAAAGAAAAAAACGTTTTCAAATTGTAAATTCAATCCCAAATCCACAAACTTTGCCGTCTTTTGTGTGTGAGTGTGAGATTTGTAGTCTCGGATTCCAAGGTTCGAATTTAGGGTTCGAAATTTCATTTTTTAAGAGGTTCAGGTACTTAAGATGCCACGCTGGCCGAGCGTGTTGGTGAATGCTTGCATCAGCCGCTCCTAACATGGAGAAGTGAGACTGTTTGCTGCCGCCCAATCTGGGTCAAACGCTGCATGGGAGTCTTCTTAGCATCGCCTTAATCGCATCGAGAGCTTACCGGCGTACTAGTAGGCCCTCTCACTAACGACTAAGTGATGACAAATAGGGAAAAATTGATCCTACAAAATAAACGGATCAAATCTATAAGAAAAAGTCGTTATTAGTAAATAAAAGCATTTTAAAGAGTTACCTGTTTCAAAGCTGCAAAATAAAAAAAAAATCAACAAGTACATAGAAGACAAAAATAAGTGCGCTGATTCATTTAAAGAAAACCGCAATATAAAATCCGCAAAAGGCCCTATAAAATCAAAGAATCATCAAGTATCAAAGAAAAGGTACAACCCTCTTTGTCATCTAGTTCTTTATTTCAAAATAAAACGCTGTCCGGATCCAGAGCGCTGAAATTCCCTAAAACTCATATTTTTCCTCAAAAATACTCAATACCATTTAAACGCTTAAATTTAGAACAGACGCAAGTCCAGTTATAATCTTGATCTGGACCACTTACAGCCTGAAGGGTGCTGGAGAGCCAAAAAACGGGAATAGTCGGAGGGATCCTGGCCGCTGAAAATCCCTAGCACGAATTTTTGTAAAAAATCAGTGTGTTAGTGTGTGAAACTTGGAAAAATTGCGCGAAGCCTAAATTAGGACGCCAGGACCACTGGTGGCCTCTTAAGGCGCTATTCGCTAGACCTCCACAAAGTAATAAAAAATATATTCACCTACCCTCTGTGGTACTATTACATTTCGAAACAGCAAAAATTGAAATTTACCGCAAAAACACTAATAAGCGATATTTATGCTCTGAATATAATTGAAGATGTTTTTGCATCAGAACACCCCTATTTTACCTAATAAAGCAGTCTACTGTGGCAAATTTGATTAGGTAAGATTGTGCCAAAAAGACTTAAAACTCGAACTGTTCTTATTGATAATGTGTATAAGAACCGTTTAATTTCGTGTTTAATTCCCGCAAGGAAAAAGTAATTATCTGGTTTTGGGCTCCCTGGATTTCGATGATAAGTGACTTCCGTTGTAGATTATCCCCTTAATAACACTTTTTTTAGCGACATTTGTTCCGAAAATGTTCTTGTCAACGACCTTTCGACGATGGAAAGTTAACCATTCTCCCCTGCTTGAGACGACAGTTTCAATTTTTGAGCCCTTTGAGCTCATTATTTTGTGTAAAAGGCATAATTTATTAATTCTGCTTTGGTAGCAGCATTACGAGCTACGGAATACGTAACTTGATATTGACCAGATTTTTTCCATTGGTCTTTTGCTCTATTTTCCTGAATTTTTTTACTTTTGAAGCTTGATATGTTGGATAAGGTCCACTCGAATGGCCGATCCATATTCAGCCCAGCTCATGATTTGTCATTGCCTTCTTCTGCTCGCAGCAATAAAGCGACGGGAAACTTAACTTTAATTTCACACGAGCTTCCCTTTGACTCTTTTGCTAGATTTTCATTAAATTCTGCACTTTTATAGCTGTATATATAGTTTTTAAAAATGTCTAAAATCAGATCTATACTCAGCCCAGCTTGTGGTTTGTGAAGGTTTTTCTTTGCTCGCACCAATAACAGCGCCGGAATATTTAACTTTATTTTCACATTGGCTCGTGGATCAGCCGGTTGCTGGATCGTCATGAGATTTTGAGCCGGATCAGCTCTATATTTTAATTGAATACTGGCAAAATTGCGAAAAATTAAATTATTCTTTTAAGGTAAGATTTAACATTTTCCTGATTATTATTTTGCTCTAATTTTTAAGAGGCTTTTCTAATTTATTAGTTTTTTCGAAGATTTAATTTTTGATGTTCTCTTTTTACATCGTCACTTTCAGGTGGTTCTCTTGGGTTTTCTGAAACAGTTTCGACGGATTGAAACTAACTACAATATACATATAAACAAAATATAGATCATACTTAGAATATACTACATATAATAAACTTCCATACTTCATCTTTTTTATAAAGTTGAATATTTTTTTAAATGTGCTTCTAATTAGTTTTAATTTATAACATTTCCTTGTATAGGGGAACAATAAATTCAGGATTTTAATTCAACCATTCAAGAAGAAAATGAAACCTATTGAGTGTGTAACAGACCAGAAAACTAACTGAAGCCGGACTCTTCATTCATTCACTTCAATGTGTTCAATAGAGTATCTTGGTCTTCGCGGCGACTTTTTTCTTGCTCTGGGATCTTCTTCTTGTTCCTCATTCTTTTCTATTCAAAGCCGGCCACCATTGTACAAAACATAGGTAAACGGGGGCATTTTTTTAAGTGTAAACCGCCTGGATTTCACTACGTTAAATGTGATGTGAAAAGTTAACTAGTGTCCGTATAGTTAAAATGAGCGATGTAGTAATTAAGCATTATTGTTTTAGGTAAAAACGCCTCGAGAAAACGCCTATACCAAAGTGTGCGCTTTGCGTCGACAAAGTTCCTCGATTTCGCTCAGTAATTATGTTTGTAGCAGGAAAGCCGTATCGGTAAAACGGCAGAATCACAGCCTGGATGAGACCATCAACCGATGCTCTGGGATGGAAATAAAACTGAACAAAAACCAGAGCTTGGACGACGCGGTACTCACCAGCAAATGTGGCTATTCTAATATAAAATCACCCAAACATGGTTAGTATGAGAGTATGAGCTTAAACTAAAGCACTGAAGAGAGCGTAGTGAATCCGAAATACAAATAACTGAAAAATGTTTAAAGAAGCAATAGAAATATTGTAAAACCAAGAAAATAAATCATACTATTATGAGCACATAACAGTAATTCTTCACAAACTTTCTTCGGACACTTCGGTGCACTGATTTGGGCGTTCATAATTTGATCTTGTAGCGAACAATGAGTCGTTGTAATGAACTCTGATGCATTAAGGATGGGAACTGGTACTTTACTTTCGTAATCAACTAGTTTGTGCCCAAAGGCAAAAATTTGGGGAAGTTAGGTCCGGTGATCTCGGTGGCCAAGAGGCGCTTGCCATATTGTAATAATGCGTCAGTTGCTCTATTGCCCAACAGTGTATTATCCAAATAGCTAATAATTCTTTATTGATATAACAGCAAATGCGAAAGAAGAATCTCGAGGCGAGTTGCGTGCCCGCTCAGTATCTCCATTGGAACCCAAGTCTGAATCCGCTATAGTTGTGACCAACAACCGAATAAACGCTCATCAAACAGCATTCCGAACTAAAAGCGCCAGCTTGTCCTCCAGCATGTCGAATCTGATTCGCAATAGCAAAAAGGCCGGCCACTTTAAAGAGCTGAAAGACAAAATCGCTGCTCATAAACTGTTTTCTTCACTGGACCGGCTGGACACCAGCCAGATGATCAAGGAGGAAGAAGAAAAACCGCGAAAAGTGGTAAAGAACCTAAATGAGTTTCTAAATTTTACGGGAGTGAGCAAGAATAAAGTGTCTGATACCGATCAATCCCATGGACACTCACAGGTGAGACGGAACTGTTTGGACTGTTTGTGCTGAATTTGATGTTGAGGCAATTTTAGGCCAACGACAAGCCAAAAATCATGCTGACCAAATCGAGTTTTGATGACTCGGACAGTTCAAGTGATAAGCCGAAGCATTCTTCCACTACCACTACAGAGGACACGGACACTTTCGACGACTACAGTCCGGACGATAGTCAGGAGTATTTTCCTTTGACCACATCTGTTACCAGGGAACTGAGGCTTGAGCTCGAGAACTTGGATCGCAAGGTGTTTGGAGACAAGTACGTGGACAGATTGTCTGACTCTCCTTCCAGTCCAGAGTGTGACTCAAAAGTGGTCACTAGGAACGACGGTTTGCCTCAGGTAAGCGAGCCGTTTTAAAATATACACGCTGATTTTGAACATTCCACAGTTCGAAATCAGCTAGGAATTATTCGGTGGAAAAATACAGATAAATACAAAAATAAAATGTAGAGGGCACTTGAATATAGGAACCGATGTACAAAAGTGTTTGCGCCAAGTGCTATTGACGCTTTAAAACTATTCGCGAGCTGAAAAATCCAGACGCCCCCTGGTGGTTAAGATTATAACTACAAGTTAAGTAGTAATTTGACACTTGTTCTGTTGACATTGGCGTTTACCTCTGATTTTAATTTGTTATGTTTTGTTCTAATCAACTTTTGCAAACTTTTAAAGAAATAGAAACAGATCGAAAAGTGTGTAAGATTGTTTTGTGTTATAAATGTCATCAACTCCAATAAATAAACAAGTCTGACAAGTCTCAACTGTCACTCGACAACGAGTCATTTGACGTTTCGCAGCGCCACCACTCGCGAATAGCTTGGTGTCATTTGCCTTGTCATAATTTGAATGTCAGTTTGACATTCATCAACGTTTGAATTGCCTCAATTTTGTCGCCATGGATACTGGTTGTCATTGGCGCAAAGTGCCTCGATATAATGGTTTTCAGTGGATAAGAATTTTTTTTTCAATTATTCTGCTAAAAGTGTGTAAGTGTTCGCGACTTCAAGTTCCGATGGGGACGCTGCGCAACGTCAAATTACTCGTTGCCGAGTGACAGTTGAGACTTGTCAAACTTATCTATCTATTGGAATTAGTAAACAAGCGGAAAGTGAATTGTAACAAAAATGAATGTGAATAAATGAAATTGCAAGTTGATTAGATCAAAACAAGAGTCAAATTACCAGTTAACTTGTAGTTATAATTTTAGCCACGAGGGAGCGTTTGGATATTTAAACTGACAAATTGTTTTATGTTATCAATGTCACCAACTCCAATGAATAATCAAGTCTCTACTGTCACTCGACAACGAGTAATTTGACGTTTCGCAGTGCTATCATGAGTAGTTGAACTCGCGAATTATGAACAAAAATGTGTTTCAAATTTTGTTATTTGTTATTATGGAAATACTGTAGTCTGCCTTATTTTCCATGGTTAACTGTCATATGTCAAAAATGATAGTTAATTTGTAAAAATGTCTTATGTCATTTAATTTGGAATGCAATTTGCGAGTTCAACTACCGATGTGGGCGCTGAGAAACTTCAAATTACTCGTTGCCTAGTGACAGTTCAGACTTGTCAAACTTGTCTGTCTATTGGACTTAGTAAACAAGCGAAAAGTGAGAGTTGCAATTGTAACAAAAATGAATGTGAATGAATGAAATGAATGAAAAAAACAAACAAAAAATGAAGAGCTTGCAAAAGTTGATTAGGACAAAACAGAGCAATTTATCAATGCGACACCCATGCCAACAAAAAAGTGTCAAGTTTCTAGTTAACTTGTAGTTATAATTTTAACCACCAGGGAGCGATTGCAAAGCATTTAATGTTTTCGTGTCAGACTAATATTGACGGAACTGAGTTATTTCCAAATTTGTTATAAATTAGTTACCTTCAGAAATCTATTCAAATCTATTCAAATGGTTTTGAATAGAGCATTCAAAACAGCAATTATTGGTCCATTTAACTTTTTTCGTATCTGCTGTAGTTTCCCAGACCCCTGTACTAATCATCGAAAAAAACTCACCCTGTATATGCTTCGGACACACAAGGTTTCTTTGAGTCAATGCAGATGACTGTTTAGCAGCTTCTTCCACAGGGAAAGCCGAGCAGCGGTGACATCTTCATCTGGGAAAACCCGCTACACCAAACCAGCCCGAAAAATGTTCCAGACAACACTGAAACGCCGGATGAACAGATCGATATCGACTACGACGCCCCGACGATGGTGAACGAAACCTCCGCAACCAAAACCGTGACTCCCATCCGGATAATCAACCCCACCAGCAACAAACCGGAGCACCCACAGCGCGTGATTGTGAACTCTTTGCTTTGCCAAAATGGTACGAACATCCAGCCCGATTTCCAATTGCTTCAACATTTTTGCCTCCCAACTCGTTAGGGACCACAATGCTCACCAATTCCTGCGAAGAGGTTCAAGAAGTGAAGACTACCAGCTTCCTGCCTCCGCCTGCCGATTTTGGAGGCGGCAACCCCTTCCTAATGTTCCTCTGCTTAACAGTGCTGCTGCAACATCGCGACCACATTATAAACATGGGAATGGACTACAACGAAATGGCCATGCACTTTGATAAAATGGTCCGAAAGCACGATGTTACACGCGTTTTGAATCAGGCCAGGCAGATGTATGCGCGCTACATGAAGCAACAGACGATCGTGCATCACCGGATAGACAGTTTCAAAGGCGAAAAGTGTTGATCCATGGAAAGTGGTCGGCTAATTTTCTATATTCACATGGTTTTAGCCAAAGAAATGCACACGGTGGTGGAACCCCGGACGACATTGCTCGAAAACCAACCCTCTTATGTATAGTAATAGATTCGGTACTGTGATATTTTATATTCCTAATTGGGCTCATTTCATGTGGTCTGCAGAACACGTTCGAATATCCAAGAAGTAAGTTATCGTTCGCAACGATCCGATGCGTATTCTAAATTAATCAAACTTTCCTAACTGTTAAGGCCGTAACAATTAGAAGCTTTCTTATAGCATTTCTAGTGTAACTGCACCGCCGTATTTAAGTGTAACGTCAATATTATTAGAGGTAAGTTCTAAGCAGAACGATTTTAAGTTGATTTTTTTCTTTAAACGAAACTAGTTAAATCCCAGTTCAAGTGACAATTAGGGTCGTACGAAATGTGTTCAATGTTGACGAATTGCTCTTGGCAGGATGTCCCAAGGATGGAACATTACCAGTCCGAAAACCAGTATTATTTGCTTCAAAATGCTCATCGTTATACAGTAAAACCCCTTTGCTTTATCCGAACGTCCAGAAGTTGCCGCTATAGTTCGAACAACAATTCGTTTATCCGAGCAGTGCGGTGCAAGACAGATCGGCACTACTACAAGGCAAGGCCCAACTGCTCTCACGTCAGTAGGCCCAGCCGGTAAGATACCATAGAACTAGAGTACGATGGCTCTCACTCACTCTCACAGTATAATGGTCTTCGTGACGTCAGAGCAGTCGGGCCTTGACTTGGAGTGGTGCCGGACAGATCCCTCACTTCCAAAATGTTGTCCAAAAATGAAAAAATCCAGGTTTTTATAATCAAACTTTGATGCGATTCGGCTAGTAGACGGACCACTCAATTCGCATTATCGTACCCGTGGCACCTTCCAGACTGAAACCTAAACTGCTGAAATCTCAGCATATTTTTTAGAAAGTTCAAGCGTTAAATAAACGAATTTATCCAATGTATTTGCAAATCGAGGCTGATCACGTAGAAGCTAGGAATGACACCGTAACAAAGAACGCAAAGGCAGCAAAATGATATTAAAACAAAGCAAACAGGGAAATATTTTCATGTTTAATTGAAGCAAGAAAATATTAATGAAATAATAAATATTAGCAAAAATGAAAGGCAACTGCTTACCGAACAAATCCAGCTGCAATCAACTAGCTCACCACTTAAGGACCAATGTAGCTGAGCAGAAACTGCCACTTGATTTCTTGGATGATTAGAGCGTTTAGGGTTACAGCTGGGTTTACATGAGCTCCGGAAAGATGCCCGAAAGTCTACAGAATGTTTCATATCTTAGAAGAAGGAAAGTGAAACACTACCATTCAGTAAAGTGCATTTTAGTCGCATTGTTTGAGCACGTTTAATGTAATAAAATAATCAAAACCCAATTGTTTTTAGGTTGGTTTGTTCAAGAATTGCGAAATGAGGAAGATAAACACAATAACGCTCTGAGAAAAACAACKAAATTTGAAAAAATCTCAAAARTGTCTATAACTCCGCAAAATTGAAACTTCTCGYAKTTATACAGGTAACTTTGCTCTAAAAWTTTTTAAGTACCAGTAGTTYCTAGTTCGGTTTGATYAAGAGTTACAAAATGTGGAAGATSAACGTGCATAATGCCGCTCTGAGAAAAACAACGAAATTTGAAAAATTMTCWAAAATTTKTTTATAACTTCGCAAAATTGAAACTTCTGGCAGTTATACAGGTAACTTTGCTCTAAAAAAAATAAAAACCAGTAGTTCCTAGGTCGGTTTGATCAAGAGTTACGAAATGCGGAAGATGAACGTGCATAATGCGGCTCTGAAAAAAACAATCAATTTTAAAAAATTCTCAAAAGTTTCTTTATAACTCCGCAAAATTCAAACTTTTGGCAGTTATACAGGTAACTTTGATCTAAAAATTAAAAAAACCAGTAGTTCCTAGGTCGGTTTGATCAAGAGTTACGAAATGCGGAAGATGAACGTGCGTAATGCCGCTCTGAGAAAAACAATCAATTTTAAAAAATTCTCAAAAATTTCTTTATAACCGCAAAATTGAAACTTCTGGCAGTTACACAGGTAACTCTGCTCTAAAAAATTTTAAAAACCAGTAGGTCTTAGGTCGGAAGAGTTACGAAATGCGGAAGATGAACGTGCATAATGCCGTTCTGAGAAAAACAATGAATTTTGAAAAATTCTCGAAAATGTCTTTATAACTCCGCAAAATTGAAACTTTTGGCAGTTATACAGGTAACTTTGATCCAAAAATTTAAAAAAACCAGTAGTTCTTAAGTCGGTTTGATCAAGAGTCACGAAATGCGGAAGATGAACGTGCATAATGCCGGTCTGAGAAAAACAATGAATTTTGAAAAATTGTCCAAAATTCCTTGATTTTTTTTTGCAATTTGTAAAAGCATCTTTGCTGTACAAAGTGTGGTACAGCTAGTGTCTGCTTCTGTCTGTTAAAAATTCGTTTTTTGACCCGAAAATTCACCTTAGGATTTTATTCGATTTTCATATATTGCTCTCTAGCGAAAAATCTTGCACTTGATGAATATTGGGCTGGCTCCCATCTAGTCGAGGATTTTTTTCAGAAGCCTTTAAGCAAAGAAACGGTTTTTGTTCAAAATTCCAAAACCGTTATTTTCAAACTAAATATCTCGACAACTACCAGCAATAAAATATTTCTGGAGACTCCACTGGATCCAAGCAAATAAAAAATGTTCTGTTTATTTTCTCTGCTAATTTATAAAAGATATACCGGAGGTTTTTGAATTTTGGGCCTAATGTGTCCCAGCATGGGGCTTATCCTTAAAGAAGCCTAATCCAGGTCCAATTGGTCTCCCAGATGTAGAAGCAACAAAGTAATGTTAATTGCGTGAAAAGGACAAATGTAGTAAGAGTTTGGGCATTTTATAAAGATTTGAAGGCTCAGTCTCCATAAGAACGTGCAATATATTCTTCCCCCATAGCTAATCGGGGGAACTCTTTCCGAAATAAACCTACTCAGTTTGTCAGGTATTTTGTTCATATCGAAGAATTGCAAAAAGCCTCTTAACAAAAATGTCGCTCGTGGCAAAATCGCGGCCTCTTCAGGCTCTATCTTATAAAGATTTGTCCAGATCTCGAGTGAAGGTGATTTTCGGAAAAATCGCAGAAAGGTAGTTTCCACGAAACTCAAAATATCTGAAAAAACAAAAGCAATGGACAATATCTTAAAAACATTGTTTTTTTTCGAAACTCACTAATAAAGATGTTATGGACCATTTCGCAATTCCGCGCAATATTTCTGAAAAACTTCACCTAGTAGGCCTCCGGTGGTCGAAAGCAATCAATCTTGCTCTTTTTGAACTTTTTCCAAAACAAATTCTTCTCTTATTCTCAAATATTCGCTACCATAAGGGCTTGAACAAGATTTTTAGATTTTCCCTCGTAGCTCTGTTGAAGATTTTTTTGCGAAACAAACCAACCCATTTTTAACTGTATTTCGTCCATATGGAGCGCCTACCTGTAAAGGAAAAATCCCCGACATACATTTTTAATTTTTCGCTTGAAAATTCGTTACAAACCTTGGGATTTGGGTTGATTTCAATATTTTAATTTTTTCCTTGAATGCGAAAATCGTACTCTTGATGAAATACTTGCCTAGTCACAGCCTATCCAACTATAATTTTCTCAAAAGGCTCCCTCGAACCGTTTTCCAAAAAAAATCCAGAAACGCTATTTTCGAAAATCGGAATTATCGCCAAAAATATAAACGAAAGCGGACACCTGAGCACACCACTGGATATGCACTGCCAAAGCACACGAAACATGTTCTATTAACATTTCCGCTAAAGTGAACCATTAGCGAGCTTCTGGACGTTTTTGGATTTTAGGCCCCAATTTCCTTTTCTTTTGTGCCAATTCCGCCAGTGGCACCAATTGGCTTTCGATAAAAATTAAGTAAGCATTTAGTAAGGGTTGGGGGGTTATCAGAATATTTCAAGATTCAACCCCATAAAAGCTTGTACAGATGTGCAAAACTTTCCTTTCTTGATCCCCTGGTGGAAAGTACGTACTTTCGCCACTGTTTTCGATGGCGAAAGCATCACTTTTGTCCATTGCCAATTTTTTTCATCCCGTCTGGAAAGTAATAATTTTCGCCACGCACGCTGATAGCTTGACTTTGTCACTGACTGTTTTGACTACATTTTTCGTGACAACAACATGGAAATGGTTTTAAATGTTTAAAACTTTAAAAACGTATACCATTTTCTTGTTCTTCCGTTTCAACCTTTTTGACACACACTAGGGATGGGACATCGATCCTATAACATCGATGGTAGCCATCGATGTTGGCATCAAAGGTAATATCGATGTTAAGGAAACATCGATCTGATAGTTTGTCGTTGCATACAAATGTCAAATTGATTAACTCAAACTTAAATAATTTTCTTCTACTTATAGTTGCCACATTTTTCGGTAAACTTACTGCAAAAAGAGGCTTTTTCGGGTGCAGCTAGAAATGGGTCGCTATGCCGCGGTATCGTTTGTATCGCCACCATCAAAGAATTCGCAGAAAATGTTTCTRTCTAGTATCCACATTAAATATCCGATGTTTTCATTTCAGGATCTAACATCRATGTTTTATCGATGTCCTAAATTTACAACATCGATGGAAAAAAATATCCAACATCGATATTTTTCTCCCATCCCTAACACACACTGTAGTTGAAACGAATTATGAACATATTTATTTATTTTAAGAAACATTAATACACAGAGTGCACAGTTTGCAAAAGAAAAAATTAACGTGAACTTATTTTCATATTTAGATGTGGAATAATACGAAATAAATAAAAAGGTATCAAGTTTGACCCCTAGGGAAGATGCGTAGCTCCCTTAACTGAAGCTACTTTTGAAATATGGTTGTTTTGCCATTCGACAGTTCCCTCTGATGCGAAGTCCTTTTTTTTATTTTTTCGCCTTTTTCCTCCTCTTCTAACAAAATAAGCGTTAAAAGTTCGACGTCGTTCATCTTTCAACAGTTTTTCTTAAAAGTACCTCACGAAGAATTTCCTTTAAAAATACTCTACATTTTAGCGACTTATCAGCTAAACATGCCACCTTTAGCATAATGAAACTTGTAAATAAACGTATATTGTAATATAGGTTTATAGTTTATTACCTATTTACCTTGCGCGTACACTTAATCTGAGTTC